AAATAAGGCAGCTGGAGTCGGCGTCTGAGCCCTGGCAAGCGTTGTTGAAGGCACTTCTCGATCTCTCCACGCATTTCAGATTCTTCGCATCCCATATGCAGCCACGCTCCTGCGCACAAGTATTGCATTTCGCCAAGGACGAGCAACTGACCTTGGGGCAGTACTCTGAGTCACGAGTTTTCGCACATTCAGAGCTCTTGCAGGATACTAGTTTTTGCCCAATGCACATGTCCCCAAAAAAGCCCACATTGGCGCCACATGTCTGCGTGCTGGCACACCACACGCAGTTCTTTGAGGCCAAACATTCGCTGCAGCTGGACCCGTCGCAGCTCCCCGGGCACTTGTCGGCAGCAATACTGCCAGTGAACCAGCATTGTCGGTCGCACTCTCCTACTTTAGGACGGAAGGCATTACCATTTGTACAGCTTCCCTGAGATGATGTTCCGCACCAGCCGCATTGGTCTAAGCCTTGGCGAGCGACTGCGCAGGTGCCGCAATCTCGGATGCCAGAGCAGTCAAGACCGACGCCACACGAAAGGCAGGCGATGAAGCAAAGCGAAAGGCAGCGCATCTGCCCGGAATGCCTCAGGGCGGGACGTGACATGTAAGTACCTGATAGAGCCAAACATCACCGGGATCACGGCATCTTGCAACGTCAGCATAAGTTCTGCTATAGCATCATCAAAGCCCGTAGATCAACTTAGCGAGCTTTTTGCACGTCGTGCACAAGAGACACATACAGAGTTTCTACACTATATCAAGCCCGGGTAGGCAACCCTTCTACAAACCCTTGCAGAACCTGCTGGGTTGTTAAAACCTAGCAAAAAAAACTCCGAAAACCATACACAGCCAACGGCTCCTCTCTCAAGCAACCCCCAAACCCAAAACCTCTAAACTAGGCCCGAAGCCCTAACTCGACTACACCCTATAGCCTAGAAGCCCTAAACCCCTGAACAACCGAAAGCACTGTAATCCTAAACCCACTAAACCTAACCCTAAAGCCTAAACCCTACAGGGCCCTAAAGCCTAAACCCTTGCCCCCAAACCTCGTAGGGCCCTAAAGTCTTAACCCCAAACCTTATCAGGCCCTAAAGCCTAAACCCCTAAAGCCAGAACTACTGTTATGGTTTGGGCAAGTATCCCCCATATAGGTTCCTAGGCTAAACCCTAAACCCCAAACCCTAAACCCAAAACCCTGCACCCCTGAAGCCGTGACCCCCACGCTCTCTGGCCTCAGTGTCGACAGTCGCGAAGGCGCCTTGACCTGAGTAGGAGAGCTTTACGAAAAGGGTCCTAATGGTATAGAGTTTAGGATTTACGGTTTAGGGTTTAGGGTTTAGGATTTAGGATTTAAGGTTTAGCCTAGGAACCTATATGGGGGATACTTGCTCAAACATAACAATAGTTCTAGTATGGAAACCCTACGTTCTAGTATATAGGCCCTAAACCCTAAATCCCTTTGGGGTAGCTTTTTGTGGTTTCGGGTTTCAGGGTTTAGTGTGTTAGGGTTCAGTGTTTGGGGTTTTAGCATTTTGGGGTTTCAAGGTTTACGGGTATGACAGAAGAAACCCTGTCGGATAGGGCTTAGGGTTTTCTGGTTTAGGGTTTGGGGTTTCCCTTCTTTTGGTTTGATACGCTGTCAATGCGAGCACATGATACGAGTCCAATACGTTTCGGGCCACGGGTTCATCTACGAAATACGACTCGAGCTCACGATTTGCAACACGATTTCACTAGTCTCGTCATCTTTCTTGGTTTCAAGACACCAGCTGACGCCGCTTACGTTTCTTCAAGCATTCCTAGATGAGCCTACTGTGCCTGTCAATGGGTCGTAAAATTGCTGAAGTCCTGTGAGGCATGCAAGCCCTAAACCCTAAACCGTCAAGGTAAGGCTAAGAATTTGGGGGCCGGTGAAGGGTTGCAGAAGCTTGGGTTCGGCTCAAAGAAAATGGATGTCGGCCAAAAATTTCGGCTTCTGCTACTTGGAGGATCATGGGACTTAGTAAAGTAAGGTTACTTGTACCTTACTCGGAGCTATAAATGATTCTAACTATAGTTACCTTACTACTAACCGTAGTTACTACATCCCAGTATTGAAAACGTATCGCCGCCCATTGGAATCGTGCTGTTCTCCAAAAAGGAAATCGTATCCTCATCCACCGGCTTTTCATGGTTGACAATGGGTTTAGGGTCTTAAGTACTTATATAGTAGATAGTTGTCGTTTCGATAATCGGAGTTACTATGATGGTTTGGGCATGTATCCCCCATATAAGGCACTTAGGACCCTTTGATTCGTAAACTCGAATTGATCGGCGACGTCCCCGTAGCTTGCAATCTTGTCTATACCCCAACTTGATGCCCCGCACTGCAGTACGCAGAGATCAGCATCATTGTGACTGACCGGGGCTGCAGAGCAAGTACGTGCACCTCACCACCTTCAAAGCTTTTTGTTCTAACAAGTTGCGAAGACACCCCGACCTGAAACGAAGAGCTTCAGCGACGCAGGGGTTCAGGCTGAATGTTGGATATGGGGCTTAGGGTTTAGGGTTTAGGCTTAGGGTCTACTTTAATTATAAGGGTTTAGGGTAAACCCTAAACCCTAAACCGAGAAGCTCTCCGCTCAGACGGACCAACAGTGTTCCTTAGCGTTCTGTCTTGTATTCGTATCATAACCTACCCTCCCAAACCCTATGCTGATTAACCAGGCCCCGGTACTATACACCCATAGTTCCCCTTAAAGTGTGGGTTTGGGGTTTAGGGTTTCCCTAAACCCTAAACACTATAATCCTTATACGGGTACCCTTTGGCCCCTTTTCGAGGAACCCTCTTCTAACTTTGGCTGCTCCTAGCTTGAAAGAGTCTATATAATGGGTCATAACAAGGGCTGTGCAAATTCTATTGCAAATCTTATTCAACTGTCAAAGACCTATAAAACCCTAAACCCAGAACTCTAAACCCTATAAACTCTAAACCCTAAACCCTAAACCCCCAAACCCCGCAAAAAGGCCCCTACTTTAAACTCTCGACTCTAAGAATGACACCTGGTTGCTCTCGCCTTTGTAGCCGTGGAGAGACCTCCCAGTCAAGTCGGCAAAAAACCAATTAAGGGCTCGTCTGCAGGGCTTTTTCGGGTTTAGGGTCTAGGGGTTTAGGGTTGCGGGGCCAAGGGTTTAAAGTTTAGGGTTCAGGATTAAGGGTTCTTTACGGGTTTCAATGCAGGTTCCTCCTGGACGTTAGGTGGGTATCTCTAAAGCAGACTTGTGTATTCCATTCAGACGAAAAGGGGACAGTATCATGGACCCTGTAGCACCCTTGTAAGGGGACTCCATCACAGAAGCAGATAGAACCCCTTAAACCCTACAACATAGTCCCTAAGACATAAACCCTAAGACCTAAACCCTAAACCCCCTAAACCTTAAATCCTAAGCCCTAAGCCCTAAGACCTAAACCCTAAGACCTAAACCCGAAACCCCAAGACCTCTAAACCCTAAACCTTAAACCCTAAACCCGAAACCCTATACCCTAAACCCCAAGCCCTAGACCCGAAACGCTAAACTCTAAACCCCAAGACCTCTAAACCACAAGCCCTAAACCGCAAGACCTCGAAGTCCCGAACCCGAACCCCCAAGCCCTAGACCCCCAGCCCTAAACCCTACGACCTCGAAGTCCTAAAACCCTGAACCCTAAGACCTAAAACCCTAAGCCCTAAACCCGAAACCCGAAGCCCTAAACCCCAAGCCCTAAACCCTAAGACCTAAACCCTTAAGACCTCGAAGTCCAATGCCCTAAACCCTAAACCCCAAGCCCTAAACCCGAAACCCTAAGCCCTAAACCCCGAGACCTCGAAGTCCATTGCCCTGAAACCCCCAGCCCTAAACCCCAAGACCTAAACCCGAAACCCCTAAACCTGAACCCCCCCAGCCCTAAACCCGAAGCCCTAAACCCTAAACTTTAACCCTAAACCCTAAACCCTAAACCCTAAACCCTAAACCCTAAACCCTAATCCCTAAACCCTAAACCCGAAACCCCGAGACCTCGGCGCCAGAGCCGTCACCCCATCGCAGGGAGCCTGGAGTTTGTGAGGCGTAGGGGCTGGGATTTTAGGGTTTAGGGTTTAGGGTTTAGGGTTTAGGGTTTAGGGTTTAGGGTTTAGGGTTTAGGGTTTAGGGTTTAGGGTTTAGGGCGTAGGGGCTGGGATTTTAGGGGTGTAGGGTTTTAGGAGTCTTGAGGTGCAGAGGATTTTTTGGGGGTTTAGGGTTTTAGGGTTTAGGTCTTAGGGGTTTCAGGGGTTTAGATGGGTTTAGGTCTTAGGGGCTTTTAGGGGTTTTAGGGGTTCAGATGGGTTTAGGTCTTAGCGGATTTTAGGGGTTTTAGGGGTTCAGATGGGTTCAGGTCTTAGGGGCTTTTAGGGGTTTTAGGGGTTCAGATGGGTTCAGGTCTTAGCGGATTTAGGGGTTTTAGGGGTTTTGGGTTCAGATGGGTTTAGGTCTTATGGGCTTTAGGGGTTTAGGGTTACGGGTTTGGGGTCCTCGCCGTTGAGACGGCGTAGCCGGAATCACTATCGGCTTCTCCGGGGGAAGGCGCGTCTCGGCGATGCCGTCATCGATGGTCGTTCGAGATACTTCCTGGGCTCTGAAATCATTAGAGAGTGGATTTCACCATGGTTCCTTTAAGGAACACGTCTCAAAAAGACGTAGCCAGGGAGACGAACGTATAAGCTTTGATTTGATGATGGTTCTTTCAATAAAACAGGCACCGAAAAAGTATCAAAGCATCGTAATGTAGGGCCCTTAATAGTTACCTATACTATTTTTTGGGGGTTCCTAATTGTAGGTATAGTATACTATACCCCAAAACCCAATTCTTAAACCCTAAACCCTAAACCCTAAACCCTAAACCCGAAACCCTAAACACGCAACCCTAAACCCTAAACCCTCAACCCTCAACCCTAAACCCTAAACCCTCTATATTACTGCAGAACTCAGCTTCAGGAGCAAGCTCATGATGAGTCGGACTCCAGCAGCATCCTCAGGCTCGGAGTACTTTCGGGTTTTAGGGAAGTTTAGGGGTTTAGGGGTTCAGGGTTTAGGGTTTAGGGGTTTAGGGTGTAGGGTTAAGGGAAGTTTAGGGTTTAGGGTGTTCGGGGGTTTAAGGGCTTAAGCAGTTTAGGGCTTAGGCTTTACAAAAACAATGGTCCGACATTGGGGGATGCGTGCAAAATGCTCGCAGGAACACACGCTCAGTCGGATGCCGTAATGTAATGTAGGAGCCTTCATCATTAGAATAGGATTTTGGGCTCCTTTAAAGTTCTATTCTAGTAAGGAACCCTCTGCAATATTCTTGGTAGTTATTCAGGCTTCTGTCAGATGAGGCTAAATGAGAAAGTACGTAGGTCAGTGACCAAGCGCGACTGAAAGTGAGACGAAGGGACAACGAACACAAACTGGAGATGCACTGGCACATGGAAGCACGACTTGATTTTTGAACATAGCTACTCTCTTGCCACTCATGTGGTCTTGGAAGGTTCAAACTTCTGAAACGAAACTCTAGGCCCTGAATCGATTCCTGAACATCTGCTAAATCTTGAACCCCAAACCGCCTTATACAACCCTTTATAGGGCCCTTCCAGAGGCCCTTACCGAACGCTTTCAGAAAGCATATAGAACCCATAGACAAAAGTGTCTGCAGCTGGACGTCGTGTGCTCACTGCCCATCCATTGCTTCCACAGCGAGCCCGCCGTGCCTCAGAGATTCAAGGAGCCTTAGGGGGTCAAGAAAAAACACGAAGACAGCCTTCAGGCCTAGGGTATAGGGGTTTAGGGTTTAGGGTTTAGGGTTTAGGGTTTAGGGTTTAGGGTTTAGGGTTTCTCAGGAAAAACCCTACATGCAAACCCGAAGCCCTAAACCAGAAATCTAGGATTTCAACTATCCGATACCCAAAACCCTAAACCCCTAAACCCTAAACCCTAAACCCTAAACCCTAGCCCATCAGGCCAAGGAGGGTCCCCCTTGAGCCTGAGAGACCTACCGGAAGGAGCTGGGTGACCGACTCGCGGTTTAGGGTTTAGGGTTTAGGGTTTAGGGTTTAGGGTTTAGGGTTTAGGGTTTAGGGTAGTGTAAAACAGGGGCCCGTCATTCTTCAGAATGGAATAACTAGCAAGAAGGATAGTAGTACAAAGAATAGTCGAATCATCAAGGGCTACTGGGGGACTAATGTAGGGGCCTAAATAATTACCAATACTATTTTGAGGGTTCCTTATTGTAAATATAGT